TTGGAGGTAAAAGGAGAACCAATAAAGTATTAATCAAATATAAAAAAATAAATGTATGTATAGAATAAAAAAATAAATAAATCATATATATATTTGAAGTTTTATTTTTATAAAAATCGGGAGTTATTTTTTGCGGCGACTGTATCAGATCAATCGTTTATCCGCAAATACTTCTTGCTGTTCCACGATAAAGATAAGTAATATCATCATCGAATATTGGACATGTATATATCCTTTTAGAACTTTAGCCTTAATTGGTAGTTCGTCACTTAGTGCTCCGAAAAAAAACCGAAACAGTCTACCCCCTCTAAAGTCAATAAATTTTATCGAGAGTATGAGAAGTATGATGTATAGTCTTGGAACTGGTAGTATAAAATTCATTTAAAAGAGAGTGGGTTATAAATTATATCACAACACCATTTAACAGGGTTGAGAAGTATAATGTTAGTTTCCTCCAAAGTTTATTTATTAGGAGAAAACTAAAACCCTACCGACTACCAACCTGACCTGTGTCATGTGTCTCAATGAGACGTTTAATCATTTATATAGCTGGCGCAAATTTGTACATTCCATTATGATATGTGAACTTGAAAAAGGGTTTAATAGCGCCTGGCGAAAAAGTCGACGAAGAATGGGAACCATTCTCCACGCTGTATTATAATTTACTATTACCGTTACGTGAAAGTGCAAATATCAATATTGGTATCCCCCAATAGGATTTTGGATAACGATAATGGGTGGGGAAACGTTTCGGATTTGGAAAAATAGTTTCATTCATATTTTCATAGCTAGAATAAAGTTGTCTTTGAGAAATGATTTATTTCGTTCTTAATGGCTCTCAAATTCTGTTACATTCAATATACATGTATCAGAGAAATTCTGTTTCAAGCTGATAGTGTTACTGTGTTAGAGTTGACTGTATTCTTTTGTAAGTCCACAATCCCGTTTGAGATTTGTTTCATATTTAACATGAGCCTAGCAAAATAGTTGCATATTATTATATCTAGGACTCACCTGCATTGTTTACAATTTTGTCGCTAGATTTCCATTTTTGCATTTTTCAAAGCGGCTTATTAGATCCAACGAAAAACAGAATAATCAAAAATTAATCAATTCTATTCAAAGTTCATAATGAAAAGTTCAGCAGAGCAAGGTAAACTTATGCCATTTCCGTGTGTAGTTTCTTAAATAGGACAAGGCAAACTCGATAATCTGAAGTGGGACTATTCGTAGAAAATTAAAATTTTAGTTCAAGTTTATTAGGGAATTCAATTTATCGTTGGTAGATTTAATTATCGAAGTTTAGCATATCGATATTATTCATGTTGCTAATGAGCATTTATTAACATTCGTTATCTTTATTGGATTAATAGTTACACAAATCACTATCGCTATGTATGTATGCGCTTACAGGTTTACTTTGCACTCAAGATAGTCCAATAAGGCAGATAATATGTACGTAAATGCATTGAATATTTTGAATTCTGGATTTTTATATATGTATAGTGGAACATTGGCGCATAAATATTTTTTATTAAATATGTTCGAAAGTTGGAACGGGGGAGGACATAAAAACAATGCATATAACATATAATAGCTAGCTACGTAATAGATGAATGGTATTTTTGTCTTGCTTTATTCATTTTGTTTTTGTCAACTCCGTTAAACAAATCTGCGAAAATAATAAGAAATAGCGATAGGATTTGCGTCAAGTAAGATGTTGGGATGTAGAGCATCCACAAGTAGTCGGATACGAACAACACTAATCTTATCATTCTTTTGGATTTTCACTCTTTTAAAATACACCCATTCACAATCAACTACGACGAAAACGAAATACACCACTATAACACCAGGGCGATACGGTCATTGTTCAGTAGCATGGAAAAATGAATTGTACGTGTTTGGTGGTTGGGACAATTATACAGACGATCAAGGAGTTTCGACACCTTTTTTCTATTCAACTACAATTCCACTAAATGTCAACAGCAACATAACCTGGACATTTCTAAATACTGAGAATGCTGTAAACGTTGGGTCGGCGGCATGTGTCGTCACACCTCAAGGATATTTGTTAGTCCTGGGAGGAATGGTTTCCTTAAATTCTACAAATGGAAAAGTTTCAACGCAGGTTTATGATTTGAATCAACATGTTTGGATAGATTGGAAAAATGTTATGGATAATTCATATCCGGGGTTTGGAATTAATCCGAAAGCTGCGTTCATCTCAAATAATATTTTGTTGATTTATGCGGGAAATACCGGTGTGAATGAGGACCAAAAAAATTCACCCGTTCAGTTTATTTATTTTTTGAATGTGACAAAGATACCGTGGACTTGGACTGAAGTACGAAAAAATGTAAGAGCGCAACGATATTTCATTGCTATATATGGCACAGCACATTCTTACAAATTTCTCATATTTCAGCAAACAATCAACGCTCCAGTTTCCAACATAATAGCATCAGCAAAAGGAAATGCCTGGTTGCTTGGTGGATATTTTCTCAACGATGTCGGGAGCATTCTTGGGTACTCGCCAAAAATATGGGTTTCTAATCGACATAATCAATGGGTTTCCCCGAATATCACGCTTCCCTACGGAATACGTGATGGCGCAATAGGCGTTAACAAGGATACGTTATTCATTGTTGGATTTTCTGGAATTCAAAAGAACTCATCGGTGAATGTGTTTCCATTAAATCTTGCAAAGATGCGATTCGAAGAAAATATTACTTTCTCGCTGAAGAGTAGATCTGGAGCGTCGTTTGTTCAGTTTCCTGGGTCGGATGCTGTTTTGGTATAATTTTTTGTAATTGAATTTATGAGCTTGAAGTATCCAGAATAGCCACACACGTAAATTTTAACCGATTTTTAATTAGATATATGGTGGCTGTGCCATTACGGATTCAGTGACGATATGTAGCACTCCATTTAATAGTATCCTAATCTTTAATATGACAACACGAACATGGACCACTGATTATAACATCGTGACAAACAGTCAACTAAGTAATTTCAAATTACCGCTAATTGACGGGTTTGATATGAATGTAGAAAATGACGAAGATCCAAGTAACAACAACAACACCACCAACCACAAAAATGATCAAATTCAAAATCAAAACAATAATGATGAATCCCATCGAACTACAGCAACTTGGCTAATCGTAATTATAACATGTCTTGTAACAATAATATTATGCATTCTAGCATTCGCAACAATAACTTTTTGCCAAAAACGAATAAAAAGTCCAGCCTGGCATCTCGACAGTATAATTCGACCATCACGATTTTCACGATTCTCATGGCAACAACGATCCAACAACCACCCAATATCCGCGTCAAATCACGGGACACGATCGAATTCCCCCAGTTTTCAGTCTGGTGGCGGTAGTGTTTCGTTAGCTGGAGATACGAAAATTCCTCATGATTCCGATCCTAGGAAAAGAAATTCACAGTTCCTGATCGTGCCGAGTATTCATGTTGAGGATGAAAAACAGGAACAAGAAGAGGAAAACAAGGATGTGTCAGGGAGTAAGACCGAAAATTACACTTGGGTTGATGGAAAATTAACGTCACATCGTAGAGCTACTTGTGATATAATTATTTAGTAATGGTAGATTAACATTGATATAAACAGAGTACGTACATGTATTGGTTAGGTCATTTGGCTAAATTGTTACACGAACCAATAATATCGATCACTGTAACACATACTTAATTTCCAAAAATGACGTAAATATTATCGTCATTTGTTGAATCGCAAAAATTATACGTACATCATTATGTGTCATGGTTTAATTAAATACAACGGTAGCAATCAACGTCACGATGATCGAGGAACTCACGGGTCGATCATTCATTATTGCAAATCAAAATTTTATATATTTATCGTTATCTTTCTTTTTTTGACAGACATTTGCCTCGATACTACTTGTTACTTTTACAACTTTCCAAAGCAAAATCGAAATATCAACAATCAGAAAAATGGCACCCGACGATATCCTAAACACGTTCATCTTGATAATAGTCGGGATACTTATCGTGTCATTGACGGTAGCGATAGTTTGGTGTATTCTTGGGAAAAGCGTGTTATTTCTATTTAATAATTGTGTTATGCCGATGCGTGAGTCGTGGAAAACGAAACGACAGGTTTCGCCTGATAGACTAAGACGAGGAGTTTTGCCCTCTACTAATAATCATAATGCTCGTGCTAATCATAATATTTCAATGACATCTACAACACCAACAATAATCAGGATGCCAGTGCCAGCACATCATCACCACAATCAGTTTTATGATAGTCTTGGCAACAATAGTGATAAATCAGGACCGATAATAAGAGTGCTGTCATAATCATCAATTATATTCATGTATAACCAATGACACCTTCGAAATAGAATTTTCCATAATTAGTTTCTCTACTCTGAAAGAAGATTAGCTATAGTTTTTGTAAATTGAAATTAGGAAATGATCACCCCTTCAATATTACTTAATCGAGTATCGGTATCAATAATAACGCTCTTATTTCTCATTATCAACGATCAAGCAAAGAAAAAAACGCCAAGGTGTATTCCAGATCGGTAATCTCCGAAAAACCGGCTGAAGGTTCGGTGGTGGCACTATTCTTCAAAATACAGTATACTACTTTTTGGGAACTGAAATTCTTCCAAAAAACTTGAAATAGCATCTAATCGCAAATGAAAAATTTGCACTTATTCAAATAAACATTGTTATCTGCAAAAAACGTATTTTGAATTTACGAATTCATCGAAAACCATTCATCTCTCGAAAATCAAGAATTTGGAATTCACAACTATGGCCAAAAAAACATTGTCACTACAATAATTAATGAAACTAAATTTTTTCAATTACAAACAATGCCTTCTAAAAAGGTGTGAAGCTTAATAAAATCTGCTATATCTAAGAATTTTTCGATTTTCGTATAGAGGAGTGCTAATGCTAAGAATTTCGATTTTTTTTAAATCAGAAACTCGAGAAATATATTTTTTTTTAGACAAAGTAAAAAAAAAAACTTATCGTCTCGTAAAAATACAATAATGCATGAATCTTCGCATTACGTACTTATGAAAAAAAAACTGAAATACATTTATTTGCACATTTTGTCCCGTTTCATTTTATTTTCTTTAATATTCACATGGAGCATTTTTCACAATAGTTTTTTTTTTTAAAATAACACTTAAGATTTGAGTTTAAAAAATCGTCCTTACAACCACAATTATCTGCTTTAAAAATTTCCTCGTCGAGCTTTAAAAAAGCAATATTTCAAATACAGTCATACCTCCATATACAGTAGTCACATTATTTTAGTGCCAGTTTCAAGAGTATGCATTAAGAGTAGAAGAATAAATGCCCTGCCAAAAATATCCTGACAAGAATAATCTAATACAGACTTTGATAAATCAAATAATTCAAATTCGTACGTAGTTCTTTATTAGAAAAATTTTTTGTCAAATCCGCTTGTTTATGTTATTTGATATTGTTGGATGTTGATATTACAATATATTTAAAAAAAATATGTGAACAACAATTGATTTGACAATGAATTCTAAAATACGATCGTATAAAGCAAATGTTGCTGATTCAAATAATAGAGGTTTAGTCAAATATATTTCGGCGAAACTATTTTTTAAAATCCGAAACGTTTACCAGTGAACTTTCAGTTTGAGCCGAAAATATTCGAAACCCTATGGATCAAATCGAGCTAAACTAGTTTCGCTCGAAACACTAATACATATAACCATAACGATAACCATATAACCATATACGTACGTACATGCAGTGTTGTCACTTGGACGTAAATCCAGCAATTTGATTGGGTGGGACAAGTGTCCTGACCAATCAAATTGCTGGATTTACGTCCAAGTGACAACACTGCGTACATGTATATATCCCATAGACAGTCAAAACTCTATATGTATAACGATGAATCAAAAAATCGTTATAATGAGCGCTAAAGTATAGACAAATGTTTTTTATATTGGTCAGAATTTTCAAAAGTTCGCAATAACCAAATCTCACTATATAAGGGGATATGAGAAATCAGTATAAACACACCAAATCAAATTTTTCAAATATGAATTTTTACATTAGAAACATGTACGTACGTATGCCAATCATTCTTTAATTTCAAAATTTTTATATATACGTATATAATTATTCTATAATTTATTCTAAATATATTAATTAAACAAAAAACTAAAATTTTACTAATTTGATGTATTATAATTTGCATTTCGATTCAGAAATTTCTAATAGAATAGTACTGTTTTTTGAAAAAATTTTATGAAAAACACTTTCTAAAATCAAATTTGAATATATTTGTATGCATTTTGATTGAAAATTGATTTCAATTTATATTAGAAAAAGTTTTTTCAGAAAAATATGCTTGAAATATATATATATATTAAAAATTTATAAAAAAATAAATAATTAAATTAATTTAATAAATAGTTATATTTCTTTAATTTAATTCAAAAAATTATAAAATATAATATTACAAATTATTAAATTATCAAATTAATTTTTCATATTTAAAATAATAAAATTAATTTAATAATTATAAAATATAATATTATTTTAATTATTTAATTATAATAATTTAAATAATAATATTTTTAATAAAATTAATTTAATATATTATAATATATTAAATTTTAAAGTTTTAAACAAATTTTTAAATTATTTAATTCTATTTTAAAATTTAATAATAACATTAATAATTTTTTTAATTTTACAAATTATAATTATAGTTAAACCTCTCTATACTCACATTTATTTATAGTTAATCTCTCTATAGTCACTCTATTTTGCTTTTTCATTTATATATAAAAATTCTCTCTATAATTACATTCTCTTTATAGTCACCAAATTTTGCTTTTCTGAGAGTAATGACTATAGAGAGATTTAATTGTACAAACTAATATTATTTATAAAATATTAAAAATACTTGACAAACTCTTTTAATAACTGTTAAAATTCTGTTAAAATTATAATAAGTTAAATATCAAAATTTTGTTGAATTTTAAAATCTGTTAAAATCAAAATTTAGTTAAAATTCTAATTAATAATTAGTGTATAATCTATTAAAACTCTGCTAAAATATTTTTGAGAAATTTTGACAAGTATTATCGTAGTAGTAATTAAAAAGAATAAAATATTAAAACAAATTTATTAAAAAAATATAATATATATACAAAAAATATGAATTTTTATCTTTATATAATCGCAATAAAAAATAATAAATCATAAATTTTTTTCTTATATAAAATTTTTTAATTTTATTAATATTTTTTATTTTTATATTAAAATAAAAATTTAATCTGATTAAGTTGTTCTAATTATATATAAAATTAATTATTTTTTATAATCAAAATATATAATAGTATTTTATTTTAATATAAAAATAAAAAATATTAATTAACAAAATTAAAAAATTTTATATAAAGAAAAAATTTCATATTTTATTATATTTAATTAATAAATTTTAATATAATTATTTTATTTTATTATATTATTTTTGATTATTTTAATATATAAATAAAAAATATTTATTAGTAAAATTGAAAACTTTTATATATTAATAAAGATAATATCATATATTTTACATATTTTTTTTAGATTTTTTAAATTTAATCTAATAAAATTATTCTAATTGTATATAAAGTCAATTATATTTTTATAATAATAATATATAAAAACTAACTTTATATAGCTTTGTTAGATTAAATCTAAAAAATTTAAAAAAATATAGTAACTTATAAAAATTATAAAATTATATATGTGATTTCATTAATAAAATATAATAAACATTAAAATTTTGTTTTATATAAAAATTTTTAATTTTATTAATTAAAATAATTTTATTAGAAAAAAATCTAAAAAATTCAGAAAAAATATATGTTAAAATATAACTTATAATTTTTGTTTTAATATAAAAATAAAAATATTTATTAATAAATTGAAAACTTTATATAAAATATAAATTTTTAATTTACTTTATTTTAATAATTCTAATAGATATTTTTATCTTATTTTTCATAAATAAAATTTAATAATTAATAATTTTTTAAGAAATCATTTTCTAAAAGAAATTAAATTTAATATTTTATATTATTTATAATAAAATAAAAATTAAAATTATTATTATACTATAACAAATTATTTAGATTATAAAATATTAATTCAAGTTTCACAATTCTTTAAAAAAGTAATAGTAGGTAGTTTTTTATTATAATTTTTTCTAAATAATAATAATTTTTTCTATTTTTTTAATATTAATATAATAAAAATTTTCAAAGAAATTAATTTTTTTACTTTTTTTAATAAGTATTTTATATTAATTTTTTTTGGAATTAGCTAAATTTAAAATAAAATTTTTTTTTAGTGATTTAATAATATAATTTTTAAATTATTAAGCTTTATTTAGTAATAATTTCTAACTGAATTATTTGTAAATAATCTTTATTATCTTAAAAACTTTATTAAAAACTGGTATTATAAAAAAATATTTAACTAATTAACTTAAAGTTATCATAAAAATTTCAAAGAAATAAATATTTTCAATAATTTTTAATATTATTTTAAAAATTAATTTGTCATTATTTTCTAGTATATTTGTAAAAGTATTAAGTTATTTAAATATAATAATATATTTATTATGAATTATAATTTTTATAAAAATTAAAATTCAAATTAATTATATAACATAAAAAATTAATATTAATTTATCAAATTTATTAAAAAGATTTATATTTAATTATTATTTATTATTTTAACTTTTATATTAGAAAATTATTATTAAAATGTAAAAATTAAAATAATAAAGTTATAAAATTAAATTATATATATATCCCTACACTATATTACTAGAAATTAAAAAATATATAGTAAAACATAATAAAATTGATATTATTGCTTTATATTAAAATAATAAATTTTAATATAAAACAATAATGTCAATTTTACTATATTTTACTATGTTTTTTTTTTCAATTTCTAGTAATATAGTGTAGAGATATGTAAATATATTTGTATTTATAAAAACTTTACATAAAAATATTATATATTTAAATATTTTGTTATTTAATATTTTTTAATAAAAAATTATAATTTAGATAAAAAATAAAATATTAATAATTAATTTATTTCAATTTTTCAAAATTTTAATATAATAATATTAACAACAAAATTAATAACTAAAACAATAATTAAATTAATTAAAACAAGAATTTCTTGTAAATAGCAGTTTCATAATTGTATATTTGATTTTTAAGAAGTTAAATAATAAAAATTATAAGATATAATATTTAAAACATTATATATTTCGAAAATAT